AATCTTCAATCGCTGATACCCTTTTTCCACTTGATTGAATCGGCTACTGAAGCTTGTGCATGCGTCATGTTGTTCTCTTGCCATGGTTTTCAGTTCCATTGGGTCATTGAAGGTCTTCTCTACACTGTTTATTCTAGTTAGCCATTCATCTAATCTTTTTTCAAGGTTTTTAGCTTCTTTGCCATGGGTTCGAACATCCTCCTTTAGCTCAGAGAAGTTTGTTATTACCCGTCGTCTGAAGCCTTCTCTCAACTCATCAAAGTCATTCTCCATCCAGCTTTGTTTCATTGCTGGCAAGGAGCTGTGCTCCTTTGAAGGAGAAGAGGCGCTCTGATTTTTAGAATGGAGATTTTAGATTTTAGAAGGAGAAGATTTTTAGAATGTTTAGCTTTTCTGCTCTTGTTTATCCCCATCTTTGTGGTTTTATGGTCTTTGAGCATGGTGACAAACAGATGGGGTTTTGGTGTGCATGTCCTTTCTGTTTGTTAGTTTTCTTTCTAACAGTCAGGACCCCCAGCTGCAAGTCTGCTGGAGTTTGTTGGAGGCCCACTCCTGACCCTGTTTGCCTGGGTATCACCAGCAGAGGCTGCAGAACAGCAAATATTGCAGAACAGTAAATGTTGCTGCCTGATCCTTCCTGTGGAAGCTTCATCTAAGAGGGGCACCTGGCCGTATGAGGTGTCAGTCGGCCCCTACTGGGAGGTGCCTCCTAGTTAGGCTAATCAGGGGTCAGGGACCCACTTGAGGAGGCAGTCTGTCTGTTCTCATATCTCAAACTCCATGCTGGGAGAACCACTACTCTCTTCAAAGCTGTCAGACAGGGATGTTTAAGTCTGCAGAAGTTTCTGCTGCCTTTTGTTCAGCTATCCCTGCCCCCAGAGGTGGAGTCTACAGAGGCAGGCAGGCCTCCTTGAGCTGCAGTGGGCTCCACCCAGTTTGAGCTTCCTGGCCACTTTGTTTACCTCAAACCTCAGCAATGGTGCATACCCCTCCCCCAGCCTCACTGCTGCCTTGCAGTTGGATCTCAGACTGCTGTGCTAGCAGTGAGCAAGGCTCCATGGGTGTGGGACCCTCCGAGCTAGGCGTGGGATATGATCTCCTGGTGTGCTGTTTGCTAAGACCATTGGAAAAGTGCAGTATTAGGGTGGGAGTGTCCCAATTTTCCAGGTACTGTCTGTCACAGCTTCCCTTGGCTAGAAAATGGAATTCCCCAACCCCTTGTGCTTCTTGGGTGAGGCGATGCCCCACCTTGCTTTGGCTCACGCTCTGTGGGCTGCACCCACTGTACAACAAGCCCCAGTGAGATGAACCTGATACCTCAGTTGGAAATGCAGAAATCACCAGTCTTTTGCATTGCTCACACTAGGAGCTGTAGACTGGAGCTGTTTCTATTTGGCCATTTTGGAACTTCTTTTTTTTTTTTTTTTTTTTTGAGACGGAGTCTCGCTCTGTCACCAGGCTGGAGTGCAGTGGCACATCTTGGCTCACTGCTACCTCCACCTCCCAAGTTCAAGCAATTCTCCTGCCTCAGCCTCCCAAGTAGCTGGGACTACAGGTGCGCACCACCATGCCCAGCTAATTTTTGTATTTTTTGTAGAGAGGGCGTTTCACCATGTTGGCCAGGATGGTCTCGATCTCTTGACCTTGTTATCCACCTACCAGATTCTCCCAAAGTGCTGGGATTACAGGCGTGAGCCACCGCACCCAGCCCAGCTTCTAGTTTTATTCCCTCTGACCTATTCCTTCCCCCACAGGTGACTATGAACCTTCTATTTTTTAAATATAAGAAATAAATTTGTAATTCTCTTCATGTCTTAGATAAAATCATATATCTCTCTTCACTTCTGAGATAAATGATAGCATACTATAAAAATAGGGAATACTTGATGGATTTATGTGTTGTCCTTGCATAGGAGCCATGCTAATCTTCTCTATATCATTAAAATGTTGCTATATGTGCTGCTGAAACAAGCACTTAGGAGATCAAGATTTTACATGGGTAAAAATTCTGGAGCTGGACATGGTCTAGAGAGAGATGGCTTTAGTAGGTGCTACCTTAAAGAGTCTTATATAGTCAGGAGACACCATAAAGATGCCAGGTGTCCAAAGAGAGAGTAAGTGGCCTGGGAATGGACCAAAAATATCAAAAGAAGAAGTGAAAAGATGACTGCAAACAAACATTCCTACCTGACAACTCAATGTAGGGCCTAGTTCTTCCTCAACCTATGTTCCATTCCTGCCAATATTTATTATATCATGCAATGGATACATAAAGGGCTTTAATGTTTTGGGTTTTTTGATGAATTCTTTAGGCACATGAGAGTATAAACACAGAATCCTTCATAGACACACAAAAATGTCCAAGTATTTTAAACTCATACCACCAATTTTAAAATATTCCTTGGGTTCTTTGTTTGAATTTTGCAATATTCAAAAGAAATACTGGAGGCAATCCTAATTTTTCTCAAGAGACACACATCTTAGCTAAAAGAGAAGAATAATTATGGTGCTGGGAAAACTGGATATCCATATGAAGAAGACTGAAATTGATCCCTATCTCTTGCCTTACATAAAAATCAAATCAAAATGGATTAAAGACAACTTAAATCTAAGATGTCAAACTATGAAACTACTGCAAGAAAATATTGAGAAAACTCTCCAGGGCATTGGTCTGGGCAAAAATTTCTTGAGTAATACCCCACAAGCACAGGCAACCAAAGCAAAGATGGACAAATGGAATCACATCAAGTTAAAAAGCTTCTGCACAGTAAAGGAAACGATCAAAGTGAAGAGACAACCCACAGAATGGGAGAAAATATGTGCAAACTACCCATCTGACAAGAGATTAATGACCAGAATATATAAGGAAGTCAAACAACTTTATAGGAAAAAATATATAATAATCTGATTTTAAAATGGACCAAAGATTTGAAGATATCAAAAGAAGATATACAAATGACAAACAGGTATATGAAAAGGTGCTAAACATCACTGGTCATCAGAGAAATGTAAATCAAAACTACAATGAGATATCATCTCACCCCAGTTAAAATGGCTTTTATCCAAAAAACAGGCCATAAAAAATGCTCTCAAGGATGTGAAGGAAAGGGAACCTTCGTACACTGTTGGTAGGAATGTAAATTAGTACAACCACTACGGAGAACAGTTTAGAGGTTCCTCAAAAAACTAAAAATAGAGCCCCCATATGATCCAGCAAACTACTGGATATATACCCACGAGAAAGGAAATCAGTATGTCAAAGATATATATACACTCCCATGTTTACTGCAACACTGTTCACACAACAGCCAAAATTTGGAAGTGGCCTCTAAGTGTCCATCAGCAGATGAATGGATGAAGAAAATGTGGTAATTATACACAATGAAGTACTATTCAGCCATAACAAAAAATCAGATTCTGACATTTGCAACAACATGGATGGAACTGGAGGACATTATGTCAAATGAAATAAGCCAGGAACAAAAGGATAAACATTGCTTGTTCTCACTTACCTGTGGAATAAAAAAATCAAGACAATTGCACTCATGGAGATAGAAAATGAAAGGATGGTTACCAGAGGACAGGAAGGGTAGTGGAGGGTGGGGGTAGGAGAAAAGGGGGGATGGTTAATGGGTACAAAAAGTGAAAAATAAAAAGAATGAGGCCGGCGTGGTGGCTCAAGCCTGTAATCCCAGCACTTTGGGAGGCCGAGACAGGCGGATCACGAGGTCAAGAGATCGAGACCATCCTGGCTAACCTGGTGAAACCCTGTCTCTACTAAAAAATTTAAAAAAACTAGCCGGGCGAGGTGGTGGGCGCCTGTAGTCCCAGCTACTCAGGAGGCTGAGGCAGGAGAATGGCATGAACCTGGGAGGAGGACCTTGCAGTGAGCTGAGATCCGGCCGCTGCACTCCAGCCTGGGCGACAGAGCTAGACTCCGTCTCAAAAAAATAAATAAATAAATAAATAAATAAAAATAAAAATAAAAAGAATGAATAAGACCTAGTATTTAATAGCACAACATGGTGACTATAGTCAATAATAATTTAATCGTACATTTTAAAATAGGTAAACGGGCTGGGCGCAGTGGCTCACGCCTGTAATCCCAGCACTTTGGGAGGCTGAAGCCGGCTCACCTGAGGTCAGGAGATCAAGACCATCTTGGCTAACATGATGAAAGCCCATCTCTACTAAAAGTACAAAAAATTAGCCCGGCATGGTGGCACGCGCCTATAGTCCCATCTACTCGGGAGGCTGAGGCAGGAGAATCGCTTGCACCCTGGAGGTGGAGGGTGCAGTGAGCCGAGATTGTGCCACTGCACTCCAGCCTGGTGACAGACTGCACTCCAGCCTGGTGACAGAGCGAGACTCCATCTCAAAAAAATAAAAAAATAAAAATAAAAATAAAATTAAATAAAATAGGTAAACAGGTGTAATAGGATTGTTTGTAACACAAAGGATAAATGCTTGAGGGGATGGGTAGCCAATACCCTATGATGTGATTATTACACATTGCATGCCTGTCCCAAAATATCTCATGTACCCCATAAATATATACACCTACTGTGTACCCACATAAATTACAAATAAAAAAGGATAATAAAATTATTGCCAATCATTTCATACATACTATTTATTATCAAGAAAACATTTATTGAGTGACTACTATGTTTAACACTCTGTTAGGTGCTATGAGAGACATAGCATGCATTAGACATAATGCCTGCCGTTGAGAATCTTACTATCTGTGCTAGTTATTAACTTATGACTTCTTAAGTTATTGACTTATAACTTATGACTTCTCAGCTACAAATCCATCTTTTTTTCCCTTGCTTTGTTATTCTGGAGCTGGACCCTGTAAGCTGGACCCTGCCAAATTTCTGCTTTGGCAATGGTAAAATGATAGGTTCTGCCAATAGAAGATGATGGAGAGACACTGGGAGGCCAGAGCAGAGGAAAGGACTTGACATTCTTCTTCTGGTAGACTTTTTTGTGTGGAGTCAGTGGATTGGTTTGCAGGCAGGGCCTAGTAGTATTCACCTCTACAGTCCTCACAATTCAGTTACGGCCCATGCTTCCAGCAAGTTTCTTCAGCACAGGTGGACTACACATTCTTGTGGCAGTCACACATTCTCCTCTAAATTTCTCAGGTTCCTTCTTCTTGTACGTTCTTCTTCAGCCAGGGTTAGTAGCCATGCCTACAGGAGTACCACTGGACCCCTTAGAGTCCACTCTGCTCCTTTTAGGCATCTTTCACTGGTTAATCGTTTTTTTTATGTTAAATTTTCCCTGTTCAAATCACAGGTATTTTTTTTGTCTACTGATTGGTCCCTAGCAGACATACCATACCATCAAATAAGGAAGAAAAGACAGATGTAAATTAATGTAAATTTGGGGGGAGAAGGGGCACTTCAGCTGTAATCACAGCCCAAAGGCCAAAGATCTTCAGAGATGTAAGTCTACAAAATTATCTATTAGTTTGGGTTGTGTTTAGCTGCATATAACAGAAACTGGCTTCAGTGACTTAGCCAAATAGAGATTTATTTTTTTCATGTGACATGAACTCCATAAATAGGCAATTAAGGGCTGCTTACTCCAAAAAAAAGTGAAAAATTCAGGTTCCTACTTTCCAGATTCTCCATCCTTAACGTGTGACTTTTGTGCTTGTAGTTGTAATATTGCTGCCTCCCATCCAGACATTAGATCTGTATTCCAGAAAGAAAAAAAAAAAAAAAAAAAGGTAATGGAAAAGAAAGAATGATTCCCTTTGAATCTATCCCTTTTCTGCACATTCTTAGGGGCATCACCAAGTAACTTCAACTCACATGTCATTGACCATTCCTAATCATAAGGGAATCTGAGAAGCTCAGCATTTTTCAAACTGGGGACAGATCTCTGTAAGTAAGAAAAAAAGGAGAGAATGGATGTTGGATAGGCAACTAGCTGTGTCTGCCACAAATTGAAAAATTAGAAAATTACTTACATTTGAGATGGGCAAGAATTAGCAGTGGGATTTTATTTCATTTCCATATACTTGTTCATTTTCTTTTCATGTAAGTAGTCTTTTTATATTAATTATACACTATGACATACAATTGTTTTTTCCTCAATAACTAGCATATCTTACCAGAAAAGAAGGACGGAATAACATTTATTTTATTAGGACATTGTTTTCATGTAACTCGTTTATAAAGTTTAGCCTAGACCTAAGGAGGACATGGAGACATACATTTACTCTTAGTTTCTTACTAAATTATTTGTGGCCTGTTTAGTAAATATTCTAGTCCAGTATACTAGATGTCATTAAAGTGGTTAAATAATTTGTAGAACAGTAAAAGATGAAGTTTAAGGACAAAATTTTCTACACTAGAAATTGATTAGCAGAGTAGGTAGTTAGTTGGTAGATCTAGGAGTGTTAGGATCTATTTAAGAGATACCTAGAAATCTTTTCTATCCGAATCATGCCATCTTTCAAGTCCTAGCTCAAGTTTCTCTTCAGTAAGTTACTTTCTAACCAGGACAGTCTCTTTTCTAATGCAATTTCCACACAACTTTGTCCTGGAATGTGTAGTAATTTGTATTTTTCTCTAATTTTTTATATATATCAGTCCAATTTCTCATATGCCCCAATTATATTGCAAACTCTTACCTTTTCCCTGTGTCCTCACAATGTTCAAAGAAAGGGCATAGTATTGATTTGAGCTAACCTCAATTGAATGTCCTATAAAACTAGTGCAGGTTCAGAAGCTTTTTTTTTTTTTTCCAAAGAGAAATTGATAACAAATCAAAGCCAATAATAAGACACAAAAGCTTTTGTAAGAAAAACTAAATATAACAGCCCGGAATATTTTAAACTTATATTTCTGATTTTCATTTCAACAATTTTTTTTTATAACACCAGCACGAGAAGGCTGGTGAAACTTTTGCAGGCTATTAATGTTTTTTAAAAAAACTTTTAAGACAGGGTGTCATTTCCATCACCCAGTCTGGAGTACAGTGGTGTAATTTTGTCTCACTGCAACCTCCACCTCCCAGGCTCAAGGGATTCTCCTGCCTCAGCCTCCCAAGTAGCTGGGACTACAGGTGTACACCATCATGCCCAGCTAATTTTTGTATTTTTTGTAGATGGGGTTTTGCTATGTTGCCAGGCTGGTCTCAAACTCCTAAACTCAAGTGATCCACCCACCTTGACCTCCCAAAGTGCTCGTATTACAGGCCGGAGCCAGCATGCCTGGCCTAAAATGTTCAAAAGTAGATAATTTAAATATCTTTCCATGTGGTCACTTGGAATTACCTCACTAAAGTTAATGATAACAATCCTACTATACCTCAATACTTCAAGGAAAGGGAGTTAGTAACCAAGACCTGGGCTTCTTTCTATCTGGTTTGCTATGAGCTACACTTGGAATTTTAAACTGAAATTCCCCATTTTAAGATGCTGCTACTGGATGGATGTGGTGGCTCATTCCTGTAACCCCAGCTCTTTGGGAGGCTGAGATGGATAGTTTAAGCCTAGGAGTTGGAGACCAGCCTGGGCAACATAGGGAGATCCTGACTCAATAAAAAATTTAAAAATTAGCAGGTGTGGTGGTGCATGCCTGTAGTCCCAGCTACTCAGAAGACTGAGGTGGGAGGATTGTTTGAGCCTGGGAGATCAAAGCTGCAGTGAGCTATGGTTGAACCACTGCACTCCAGCTTGGATGATAGAGCAAGACCTTGTCTCAAAAAAAAAGAGATGCTGCTACCTCCACATGGATCTCAAAGAAGTAGTGAATATTTAGCAGACAGTGTTTCCTGTTTTAGTTATTTATTACTAAATAGATATTAGCACTTCATAATAAACAACCTTAAAACGTAATAGCTTCAAATGACAACGTTTCTTTTTTTTTCTTTTAGTACCAGAGTCCATGAGGCATTTTATTTGTGAATATGTATTACATCGCTAAAAAAAAGAATCCCAGGATTTCCCCTCCTGTGTGTTTTCTTCTGGCTTCTTCATGGTCCATGATACCAGCTGAGGTTGTCAGTACAATGAAACCAAACTAGAGGGATAGAAGCAGATTATTCTGACATTTTTCCAGATGTTTGAGTTGCACATCAAATCTGGGACTGATAACTTAACACTTGTTTAGCCTGCCTGTGATCACAACAATTTTTCCCAGTTCTGTGATCATCAATGATCTCAAATTCGCCAATGTAACCATACTTCCCCATCACAATGAGAAACCGGATGATGATGTTGGAGCACAGCTTAGTAAGAACCTGGCGTTTGCCTCTCCTTTCGGCATTGTTGATGCCCTTGAGAGCATCAGGCAGGACATTCATGTGCACCATTGTGGCAGCACGAAAAGATAGCGAAAAGACCCAAACGACAACCCTTTGATTGCTCTTGACACTGTGGGTCAGGAATTTGGGTAAAGCTCATTTGGATGGCTCATTTCTGTTCCTCGTGGTGTTGGGAAGGCTTGGCGAGAGCTAGAGATCCAAGAATGCCTCACTCATATGTGTTGGACACCTCAATTCTCTTTCTCCGGCCTTTTTTCTGTCCAGGTGGTTTCTGGACAGGGCTATATTTGGGAGTGATCTGTCATATTTCTCTTTACTATCAGATTCCTATCTTCATCCTGCCATCATCACTCAGACTATCATCATCACCCAGTCTTATCAGATATTGCCAAATTATGATGTCATAACTTACTACGATTTTCCCCACTGTCCATGAAAAAACAAAGAAAGGATTAGATACTTCTCAGGGAGTTCCCTGTTCATCTTTAGGGCCTCACTTTAGTCCTCTCATAAGGTACTTTTTTCCTTCAAATTTCCTCAGTGCAAATATCCACCCTCAATCAACACGGGTTGGTGTTACTCCAATTCACTCCCCTTTTTTTTTTTTTTTTTTTTTTTTTTTTTGAGATAGAGAGTCTCGCTCTGTTGCCCAGGCTGGAGTGCAGTAGCGTGATCTCGTCTCACTGCAACCTCCGACTCCCAGGTTCACACCATTCTCCTGTCTCAGCCTCCTGAGTACTGGGACTACAGGCACCTGTCACCACGCTTGGCTAATTTTTTGTATTTTTAGTAGAGACGGGGTTTCACTGTGTTAGCCAGCATGGTCTCCATCTCCTGACCTCGTGATCCGTCCGCCCCGGCCTCCCAAAGTGCTGGCATTACAGGCGTGAACTACCGCGCCCGGCCTTCACTCGCCTCTTTCTTTTTTTGAGATGGACTCTTGCTCTGTCGCCCAGACTGGAGTGCAATGGCGCGACCTCGGCTCACTGCAAGCTCCGCCTCCCGGGTTCACGCTATTCTCCTGCCGCAGCTTCCAGAGTAGCTGGGACCACAGGGGCGGGCCACCACGCCCAGCTAATTTTTTGTTTTTTGTTTTTTGTTTTTTGTTTTTTGGTAGAGACGGGGTTTCACCGTGTTAATTTTTCCCCCTAGAGGATATATTATTGAAGTACAGGGCTTTATTGTTTATTCTACTGCAGACACCACAGGACACCATGTTCTTCAGGTTAGAATTGAGTACTTGAGAAACTATATGAATAATTGCTTGTTGAACTGTACATGTGAATTATCTCTATTTTCCAGCTAACGATTGAGCCTAAAATTATTAGTATTTTTGTAATTTTGAACCATGTGCATTTGAAGTTGGATTAGTGACAAAGTCTTACTCATTTTTCAAGTGTTAGTTCTGAGGGCTTCTCCCCAGCGTTGCTGCTAGATAATACTGCACCTTTGTGCTAACAAGTAAAAAGCTGATCCTCTGGGTTGATGTTGTCTCATGCCAGGGCTCTAGGCAGAGTGGGCTGGAGTTCAGTCCCCAGCCATCTTCTTAGCAGGGCATTCTAGATTCATAGATCTTTTATGTTGACGTGTTGATATCACTTCCATTAGCCATTTGTTAGAATTACTAAATAAAATTTACATAATTCAAGGATCTAAAAAGACCAGAAGTTCAGTGAGAGTCATTTTTCTGAGATACTTCTGCATTCCTCTGAAGAAGATAATTTGTTCCAACTTAACAAAAACAGGTGTTAAAATTGAGTAGGTTTTGAGAATACTCAGACTTTTTTTTAGTCTCAAGCCCTACATGAAATACATTACAATCCCTTAAATCTTCCAATCTTAGAGCTAGAAGACAAGTTGAGCACCCTCACTTTACCCAGGGGCAATTTTGTGTCCCAGATGACAAAGCTCTTAGATCTACTCATTTGCTTATGGCTCCACCAGTACTTCTAGGTCAGGTCCTCTTTCACCTGAAGGATTAGCCATACTTCTGGAACCATTTTCCAGGTTCCTTGAAATAAATATCTTCGCTTTGCTGGGGACCCTAGTTTCCTGTTAAGTAGTGAATGACCCTTCTTTCCTCCCGCCAGCCACAGTCCTATTTCACAGAGGAAGAGAATGACCAGCAAAGTCAACTTCTACTACAGAGAAGTAGCAACTGATAAAAGGCCAAATCTTACAACGTGAAGAAAAAGACCCACTATCCTGAAGCCAACTCGTATCAAAAGTTAATCTATTTAGTCCTCTCTGCCGGGGCTAGTCTACAGTTTTTCTTTTTGTCTCCCTCTTACCACTTACTGCCTGCCCAGTCACCAGGTGGTTGTCGTTGTCCTTCCCGGCTAGTTGCCAATAAAGTTGTTACAAAGTGACCTTGAGTATCTCCCTTGGTGCACCCGAAACCCCGCCTTCTTCATCCGGGTGCTGCGGCACGAATAAGAGCTGGACCGCGCTTGCGCGCTCAGTCCCATTACTTCGACCTCTGCCGCCGCCGGTGCCGCCGCCACCTCTCGGGAAGGTAAGTGGAGGGCACAGGGAGCCCGGCCTGGTCAGGGCGGAGCGGCGCCCAATAGGGACCCATTCATTGTGCCGGCGCCTCACTGGGCACGGGGCCCAAACTGACGGCGTGCACGGGAGCCTGCGGGGCCTGGGTGGGAAGGACAGGCCCCTGGAGGGCACTTGACCTTAAGCCTCTTTGCCTCCGCAGAGAGGAAGAGGGAGAGGAGCCCACGTCACCTGTCACCCAGTATCTCCAGCCGCGCGGTCCCGAAGAGTGTAAGATGTTCGCCTGCGCCAAGCTCGCCTGCACGCCCGCTCTGGTGCGTAGCCCAGGCAGGGCCGGGGGGAATGAGGGCTGGGCCGCTTGTCCTGGAGCGTCCACGTTGTTGAATGGGGCAACCCTCGGGCGGGGCACACCGCCCTCCGGGAACGACTGTGTCCTCACCCATTAACCCATTGCCATTTTCTTCCTTTCTTCCTAATCTTAGGGCATCTCAGCCTTCTCCTCGCCACTAGGGCGAGGCAGAGCAGCCGAGGCCTAGCTGACAGGCCTCACTCGGTGTAGGTCAAACTCTCCTGTCCTTAGACCCGAGCGGCCCTTTCCCCCACCTCCTCTCAGCTTCTCTGTTGGATTGGGGTCGACCGCGAAGCCTGGAGTACTGCAGAGGATGTAGGGGGCCGCTGAGGCCTATTTCACCTCAGCAGCGCTTTCCAGTGCCTGTCTGTAGGTCAAACTCGTTGCTGCAGAGGGAGGGACTTTGCCTTTCCGTGTGGGGGCGGAAGAAGGTGGTGGGGGAACGAGCCCAGAGTCTTTCTTCCTGCCTCTGGAGTATTATTTTCATAACAATTTTGCAGGCTTTAAGTGAGTCTAAATCTGGAGGATTTGTCTTAGAGAATCAGATCTTGGTTCTGAAGGGTTTTTCTGTGACCTTAGTTTAGTAGACACTCAAGGGCAGAGAAGTTGGACCGGAATATGTCCTTATGGTCAGATATTTCACAGATTATTCTTAAACTGATGTAGAATTGCTTAAGTTCCTTTTTTAGACACCTTTTTTTATGATTAATGGTCATATAGAAATATCTTTGAAATGGTCAGGGCTTATATTAACTGCTGGGCTATTTTGAGTGATGAATGTTTATAGTGACACTACTAATATACTTGTTGGTCCACTTAAAATTGCCAAAGAATGTGTGGTATTTATTGCTTTTTTCTGACTTGACTTATGGCGCTACAATAATGGAAATGTCAAAAGCATTTCTTACTCTCTTTGTAATTAATTGTTATTAGAAATTTTATTTAAGGTAGCAAACTTTACAATTTCATTAGCATGAAACGTTATTAAAATTGCTTCATGTGTTAAAAATGACCAAACAGCGAACAGTCAATTCAGAAGTCTCTGATTCATTTTTACTGCTTGCTTTTTTGGAATTCATGGTACCAGAAAAGTCATTGAAATCTTACCTGTATTCTTTCTTAATATTGGAATTCTTTTTTTTTTTTTTTTTTTTTTTTTTTTTATCATTAATAGATCCGAGCTGGATCCAGAGTTGCATACAGACCAATTTCTGCATCAGTGTTATCTCGACCAGAGGCTAGGACTGGAGAGGTAATAGTAGCAATAATTGAAATTAGGTAACACTACCAAGTAAGGGTAGGGTTTTGATTAGAGTGAAGGAAAAAAACTTGATTAATAAGAGTTTGAGGGCAATTCTTTTCCACCCTTTTATCCAAAAAACTAGATGAGCCAAGTAGAGAAATTTCTCTATCCAAAACTTGACCAAGAAATACTGTAGTACTTATATTCAAGTCTATCGATTTAAGTTGCCTATATTTAAAATTATAATAGCTACAGTTATTGAAAAATCTGCTCTATTGGGCTGGATGCGATGGCTCACACCTGTGTTCCTAGCACTGTGGGAGGCCAAGGCGGGAGGATTGCTTGACCCCAGGAGTTCGAGCCTATAGTGAGCTATGATCACACCACACTGTACTGCACTCCAGCCTGGGTGACAAACCAGGTGAGACCCTCTCTTTAAAAAAAAACAAAACAAAAAACCCTACTCTAAAAGCATATTTATATATGTTGTTTCTTAATTTTCAACACGCTTTTAAGATGTAGATATTGTTATCCCTATTCTGCGAGAGTGAGATTATTCTAAGCTCTTGATTTGCCTCTTTACACTCAGCTACAAAGTAAAAAAGTAGTTATCATTTTGACAGTATGGTACTTAATTAAAATAGCTACCTGTGATTACTGATAGACCTTTACCTTTATTTTCTGTTTTCTAGGGCTCTACGGTATTTAATGGGGCCCAGAATGGTGTGTCTCAGCTAATCCAAAGGGAGTTTCAGACCAGTGCAATCAGCAGAGACATTGATACTGCTGCCAAATTTATTGGTGCAGGTGCTGCAACAGTAGGAGTGGCTGGCTCTGGTGCTGGTATTGGAACAGTCTTTGGCAGCCTTATCATTGGTTATGCCAGGTAATCATTTCTATCCCTAAATAAGTAAGTTTAAGAGCATGCTTGCAATAGTTGGAAACTTAGCTACTGAAATAATAGCTACTTTGCATTAAGTGCTTACTCTGTGTCTTGCATTACATTTAAACGGCTTTGTATGCATTATCTCACTTAATTCTCATAACAGCATTTGAGGTATTATGAGAATAACACCTATGAAGGTCTAGAGACACAGAGGTCACATTACTTGCCCAGGTCATAGCTAGTAAATGTCAGAAAATGAATTTTAACTACATCTGACGTAAGAGTCTGCATTCCTAATTGTTAAACTATTTGGGGAATAAAGTTATTAGAGCACATTCCGTAAAAGAATCAATTTATTTTATTTAAGACCTAAACTGTCAGATCTTAAAAGGTATAGACCATATTTTCAGAGGGATAAGAATGTCAGAACCCATCAAAATGAATGAAAAGTAACCATTTATGTTGAGAGACAGCCCCCTACCTTTACACCATATCAGAATTGAGGAGACTAGTATAAGAGAGATCTAGGCAAATACTCTTCCAGCAGACTTTTCAGTTTACAAAAATCCCCACACTAGTAATCTGATTCTTTAACGTTTACCAAACATGTCGAAACTAATATTTCAAAGTAACAGTCATATGTGGTCTCTTTTAGAAACCCTTCGCTGAAGCAGCAGCTGTTCTCATATGCTATCCTGGGATTTGCCTTGTCTGAAGCTATGGGTCTCTTTTGTTTGATGGTTGCTTTCTTGATTTTGTTTGCCATGTAACAAATTACTGCTTGACATGTTGGCATTCTTATTAATTACGGATGTAATTCTGTGTATCTTACTGTGACTCCGAAAACTGTAGTATTGGTGTCATGGAAATGTACGTTATTTCCAAAGTCATTTCATTAAAGATGAAAACTTTAATTTCTTCTGTGATTTGTACTTACACTAAGTTTAGATTATCACAAAGAAGAATTTGCATTCAGACAGATGCTGTCCAATTCAGAGGAAGCTACAGCTGAAAATATCCCAATGTAATTTTTATCGCAATTCTTTTATATAGTGTTCTGCATATTGTAATTCATAGGGCTTTTGTTTGTTCATATAAAGGATAAATATTCGGGTGTTTTGAGCTTCTATAAAATATGGTTAATTAAAGACAGTTAATACTCAAGACGGTCTTGTGTTTTTAAGGTCTAACATCAGTTAGAATACTTCAAATCAGAATCACCTTCCAGGGGGTTGGTTCTAAAAATAAATCACGTCAGCTTTTTAGGAAATGAAGCCTTAAGCTGGGAGGTAATGTGATTTTTGTTTTTCAGTAAGTCTCACATTAAGCAATTGTGTGCTTATAATAAATCTTCCATGTCTTTTCAGAACAGGTTCAGTCCAACTAGCAGCTAGTTTCTTACTTGAACAAGACTATTAAAAACCAAATATCAAAAAGCAGACTGAATTGGTTAGATTTTTACAGCCAAAAGTTGCTGTAAGGCAGCGTTTATCACTGTTGCTAACATGTTTATAGTGGGAGTCTTGGGGATGATAGCTGGTTCAAGAGTATTTTGCTGCTAATACTTTATGTTCCTTCTTGGTCAAACTTTTCCCATTCAAAGGAAGAAGGTGGTGCTACTATAGACAGTTTTTCCCCTAGCAAATGTATTGTACCATAATGTCTATCATCCAAGTTTCAGGGTTTTTTGAAAGTTGATAATTAGGAAAGCGACATTTTACTTTTTTTAGTGCCCTTTGCCTGTTTGATTTCCATTGAGAATGAGCAGTCAGTTACCAAAGTTCCTCAAGTGTGGGAAGACTGCCTCCATCAGATTCAGTTCTCGTTGAAAAAATAAAAATCCCTAGGTTCCAGACCTACTGAATTGGACTCTTTGGACATGAGATTCAGCAATCTGCATCTTTAAAAAGGCTTCCCAGGTGATTTTTGTGCATACTGTTTGAGAATCACTAAGTTATACATACGCTACCTTCTGTAAAGTGAAATGAGGCCCAAAAAAGCTAAAAAGGTAGAGCTGCTGCCACGTTTTTAGTTGATTCATCATCTAGTCTATATCACCCAAAAGAATTAGAAATAGGCATTCAAACAAAAACCTGTATACAAGTATTCATAGAAGCACTACTTACAAAAGCCAAAAGGTAGAAACAACCAAATGTCTATCAGCTGATGAATGGATAAGTAAAATACATCCATATAATGAAATATTCCGCCATGAAAATAAATGAGGCACTGATACATACTGAATAAATGTGAGTGAACGCTAAAAACATGCTAAGTGGAAGAAGCCAGCCACATGATTCCATTTATATGAAATACCCCAAATAGGCAAATCCACAGTGACAAAGCCAATTAGTTATCAGGAACTAGGGAGACAGGTGAAGAGGGAGTGACCGCTAAATGCGCATGGGGATTCCTTTTA